GTCCCTGTCTTTGCTGCTTCTGTTTGAAAGAAAGGACTCTGGGTGTTACTCTTACCGGATCATGACAGAGCCTTTGGTGGACATTCCGAGTAGAGAGAGAGAGCCCTGTGGAGACGACGTTTCAGCCGATGTATAAATCCGTGTTTTTCCTACAGATAGTTTTTTTTGGGGGGGCGTTGGGGGGGAATTCACAAAATGGTGTATTATAAACAATTTTTATAAAATTAAATACTTTTTCAATATCACTTTTAATATCTTTATGATATTTCACTACGTGGATATACTATTATTATTGCCTAGTCCCTTGTTGTCAAACCCACACTACACCTGCCTTTGGGCTATCATAGAAATTTAATTATTGTAGCTAAACTTGGTTCCACTGTAAATTCATAGATGTGGATGTTTGTGCTTTTAACATATGGTATTGCCGGGACATACTGTAATACGTCATTGTCTTAGAAAAGGAATCACTTCTCTAGGCTCAGGTGAGAGGGACAAGGAGGGACAAGTGCTCTGTGAGAGGACAAGGAGGATAGAAATGTCTTCCAAGCTAAGTTTGCTCGGCATGATGCTTCTGTGATTATTCTGCCAATGAATGTACAAGCATTCATGCTCGACCAGCACCATGCCTGTTAATCAACACATGTTGTCAATGACAGGTAAAACATGGAAGCTTTTTATAAGAATTATCTGCATTTCCATAGTTTGACTTACTTGATACATGTAAGCTTAGAATCTTAGTATGTACGATGTTAAAACATATTACCTTCTTGACATGAACGCAGTGCATTAGTGCTTGTGAGGAGTGTATAGGTTGTTGAGCACCTTTTGCATAGTTGTGTGTATTTTGGGCATGTATTTTCTTGGCCAACGCTTTCAGAGGTATAAAATATAAAAAGGACAGAGTGTATGTAAGAACTCCACGCCTTGGAAAGAGAAATGGGAAGAATTACTGACTAGTTAGAGAAAAGATCAAGTATACCATAAAGCTGAAATGAAACTACCATGCTGCATAGAGATGAACATAGAACCTGAGGGGGAAGAGGCCTGGAAATGAGTTGAAGTGCCTCAACTGACATAAAAGAAGTACTTAGAGTTGAACAATCAAGTTGACAACAGCTGAAGAAGATGTCTAAAACTACACGTTACACCTGGGAGTTGTGCAAAGCCTGCAGCGCTCTCTCAGATCCCTTACTCCGCTCACTCTCTGGCCAGACACCCCACTCAGAGTCAAAATAATAAGAGCGTTTCTTATACTTGTGCTCTTTTCAGTAACCATTAACAAACCGCAGGAGCAGCCTTTTGAATCTGATCGTTGGACCAGCTAGGTGTTTTCAAAGAAGAGCAAGATTGTCATTTAGGTTTACAAAGAAATACATGAATAAATGTATAAAATGCCCAGTGTTTTTATTAAGCTCTGTCAGAGCAGATGCAAGGTAGCTAGTAGTCCTTGTTTCCCATGATAGTGATTGAACCTGTGTTCCCCCACAAAAATAAAGAAATCAGCAACCGTTGTCGTCTGTCACCATAACCCAGAAATACGAGAGTTACCGTTTTAACCACTGTTTCCTTTTAAGATTTGGGGGTTGGCTATTAGAGTTCTGAACGTGCCTCATTCCTGATAATAAATGATCTATTCATTATTATATAGTACTTTTAATAATAAATAGACTTTTAAGAATGCCTCCTCCGAGGCACATACTTTACTAAGTAAGCAAATTTTCCTCTATCACATCTTATTTTCACAACAATCCTTCAATCGAGGCCTATTTCCACATTACACATTAGGAAACAGCAGTTAGAGCAGGTACGTGACCAGCTCGCACCTGACAAGCAGTGTGACTTAAGGTCAGTTTGGCGTAACAACCACTTGGCTCCGACCTTTAGGAGAGGAGACTTGATATGGGAAACCTTCAGAAAAAATCCACTCTTCCATTTCAAAGAGCTGGGCCAACTTTGGAAAGCTTCAAGGCATATATTCATCAGCATTTTCCTGATTCAGTATCCACTTTTCTCCAGTATGTGGTAGTGGTTTGTTTTGATTTTTTAATGTTAAATTTGCTGTTTCAGATTTCCTCCCCTCCTCCTGCCCCTTTGATCTTCTAGGGCCTCAATACCGCCTGGAGAAGCAGAGTGAGCCCAACATCGCTGTGGACCTGGACAGTACCTTGGAAAGCCAGAGCGCCTGGGAGTTCTGCCTGGTCCGCGAGAACAGTACGTTGGCCTCCTCGCTCCATGCCTACTTGCTCTGTTGCAAATGTGCTTACAAGTTTTGTGTTTGGGAATGCGCACTGGTCTGGCTGGCCTAGGAAGATATGAAGGGATTTTGTTTGCCTGGGCAGACAAAGTATATGCCAAAGTGAAATGATTAATTTCATGCTTCCTGATAAAGAGTGTACATCCTGTTTTGTACTAAGTAATGAATATTTTTCTGTTAAATTCTACCTTCCTAAGCTAGGAGTGGCTCCGGAAACCGTTAGGGAATAGGAGGCCTTTTCTGAGACAACAGAAAATATCTTGCTTCTCAATATCACCGTTTAGACATTAAGAAACCTTAAAGTTATAGAAAATTCTATTTATGTAATTTTATCAGTAGACAAAGTTGTTCCTAGTGCAATGTTGACAACTTCAGTAAAATTTCAGGTATTCTGTTTTCAGAGATTACAAATTGTGAATCTTGCCATCTGCATAGAAACTGCCAAAGGACACACAAAGTTGTTTCTGCTTCCAGGCTTTTACTCAGTTTGCTTCTTCTGTGTGAAACCTTCTTCCCCAGCCCACTGGTGAATTCCTTGTCCCTGGTCTGAGTGTTAGTGTCACATTTCCAGAGAGACCACCTATGACTCTTTGCACCCAGCACCCAAACCAAGCCATTTCTCTCTCTTCACCCATTGTGTTTACTTTTAGTATACTAATATTTTTAATTGCATGGAAGATTATATATTTTTTCTCAATAGTTGTTTGGTGTCTGGTCTCCCCACTAGCTTTGCCAGATCTGTGAAGGCAGAATTCTGCATAACATTGCTGGGCCTTGTAAGGTGCTATTCAGTAGTTTAGCACATATTCTGAACAGACCATCTACTACAGACTAGGTGTTACAGAAGCTCAGAAACAGAGTTTGAATGTGAATAAATGATAAATCTTTTCAGGCCAGGGCCCCTGGCAGCTTCCTTAGACTCCACCAGGAAAGTAAAGTGTACTGTTGGCATTTAGCAGCAAACTCTCAAAGTTAGAAAGTTGATGCCCATGTAGTTGTAATGGATATATACAGAGAATAGTTCACTCTTCCACTGCAGAATACACCTTCCACCGCACAATACATAAGTCACATGTGAACATTTACCAACATTGGCCATATATTAGGCAAAAAAAATAAGCCTTAAATAGCGTAGGATTGAAATTGCATAGTATATATTCTACAATCACAATAAAACAACACTAGAAATCAAGAAAAAGACTGAAAATCCCATATGCTTGGAAATTGAGAATTTGATTTAATGAATAGTGGAATTTCTAAAACATTTTGGGCAGAAGGATCTCGAAAATTATACAGCAAAAAGAAAAAGAAAATTATACAGCAGCAGGTTTGATTGAATTGGGGAACATTTGCACAGCACATCACTATGTCATCAAGTCAGTTTTGACTCATATGTTGACTCATTGTACCTTGTGTGTCAGAGTCGTACAACTGTGCTCCATAGGGTTTTGATATCCCCTCCTCACCAAGATAGGATTTTTAATGGCTGATTTTTGTGAAGTAGATTATCAGACCTTTCTTTTAAGGCACTCAAATTGCTAATCCTATGCTTATCAGTTGAGTACATTTGAGTAACAACTGTTTGCACCTCCTAGAAGACCTCAAATCACTTAAACATATCATATATATTCCAGATAACAAAATGTGTCCATAGTGAAAACAAAGCCTCATCTCCTCTGCCCCTAGATCCCCGCCCAGAGACAATGGTTCTGTATCATTCCAGAGATCTGTGTGTCTCACTCTACTACCATTTAGTTGATTCCAAATCACAGTGACCCACAAATAGACATCTGTTCATATAGAAGCATATTATCTATTTGTGTGGGTACGTATGTGTATGTATTGTGTATATATGTGTGTATGTGTGCTTATGCACAGTTTGTATTTCCCCCCTTTTCAGAAACACAAATGATTTGCAAACTATTTTAAATCACCTTCACAACATATCTTAGGAGATTGTTTCACATTAATCTACATTTTCTTTTTTCTTGAGATTCACTCATTTTAACTGTTTCACAGTACTCTTGTTTGGATATACTGTGCTTTACATTATTTGGGGGTTTTGCTTTGTTTATTTTGTTTTTAACTATGAGGCCCTCATTTT